TAGAACACACAAAAAATAGTTCTATTTATTTACACTGAGATGCCAACTTGCTCCGGACTGCGAATAAATATTTTCAAGTGGCAGTTTATTAACCCGTTTTGTCCCGAATTTATATATTAAACTGATACAAAAAGTGGTTTTATTGAAAAAGCGGTATAATATATTATCGAAATTAATTGGTTTTTCTACTGTTAGGGCAATCAAAAAGTCATTGATAGATCAAAAAGTACTTGCTCCTTATAATTAATTCTAGATCTAATCAGAAATAATTAAATCATTGTGGTATCTGAGAATCTTTTAATTCACCCAGATAAATGAAAATACTGAAAAAAGTTTCCTACCACAATGAATGTCTTTGAAAAAAGGAACTGTCCTATATATATGACGCTGGGCGTTAACCGGTTAATTGGGATTCTTGGTTTAATAAATTTAATTTAGTAGATTTTTATACACCACTATTTCTAAACAATTCGTAGGGTTATATAATTCACCACTTTCTTCTGCAATGTCATGCTAAAGCTTTAAAAAAACCAGTTAAGTGTGTCTAATATTTGCAAATTCAGTTTGTAGTTATTTACCATTGTGTTACCAGAGTTAGAGCAATTTTAAAATCATTCTAATCGGCAATCCAAGCAAACGATTTCTCATATCTTCATAATCTTGTTTTAAGAGATGCTTACTACATATTCCTTCATATTTAATATTAACTGGATCATTTCGTTTGCAACGTTGAAGCTATTCTTTACGTAGTTGCTCATTTACTGTAGAGAACATGTGGAAAATTATATTTTTCCCTTCTGTGTTTCGATCTGTGGAGAGGTAATTGAGAGAGAGGTGCCATTGGCCGAGCACCTATATACTATATAGACATTTCCCCCTCTTTATTGATGTTTGTGTCGTGCATCTTATCTCGTTGAGTCATATCATTACGATGAATCAGTGAGCCCAAGAAAGGCTGGTACTGAGTAACTGGAACAATTCTAAGAAACATTGTTTTACATTCAGTTTTAAAAACATTTTATTCTAGATCTAAGAAATGTCTCGTAAAAATCATGGGTGAAAGCGAGACAGAAAAGAGGAAAAGCTGGTAGTAAACCCATTTCAGTTTTAACATGTTTTCGGGAGGAGTTAAACTATTCCATACCTGCCAACTTTTAATCCCTTCCATTATAATTTTTCCCAGTGGTATTAAAATGGAATTAAAACCTCAATTTTAAGCAAACAAATACGTTGTATTTGAGAAAACTTAAGTCGACAATCATGATAGAAACGCATATTAATATATGTGCTTAATTTTTGTAAGAATAGTGGTGATCAATATCATTTTAAAATTAATATTATAAAAGAAAAAATAGTATATCATTTCTACTACATTAAATATGAAAATAAAATCTTCCGGAAGAGTTGGCAGGTATGCTATTCTCTTTTTCAATTATTCAGCTTTATCTACTTTTCTTTTTTAAAAAAAAAGAAGCTGTTTCTTACATGTGCTAAAATTGTAAAAAAATTACGGTAGTTACAGAAATTTAATGTTTCTTGAAAAATATGCTACGAAATGCCTTTCGTACCAGTTTTTGCTCTTTTCCGTCTCGCTATATATAGGCTTTCAGCCCTGGTAAAAATTAGCAAAGTCACTATTCTTCGAATTTAAAAAAAATCACGAAAATATTCGTGATGAGTCAACGTCTCCTATTAATGAAAGCCTTCAAACGGTTTCTTATAGGTAGTCTGATCAGGCCATTGAGAAGGTGAACAAGTCAATGAAAGAGCAATTTAATACAAAATCTAGTAAAAATAAGAAAGTGGTAGCAAATATATGTCTAAAAATTTGCTTCATTAACGAATATGATTGGTTTGTCTTATCTACTTGTCAACCACTACAGATTCAATTTTCAAATATATATGATAAATTTCTTTAAATTACTTTCAAAATAAAATGCAGCACTTCCGCAGACATGCCAACTGCTCCAGACGAGCGATAATTAACACGTTCACTGCCAGCCGAGAACAGGTGATTAAGCTGTGTCTTTCATTGAAAAGTGGTAATCAATAAAAATAAAATTAAAGTTAACTTTTATTTCTCAAACAACTACTTTAGTTTTTAAAATTCACAATAACTTTATTTCAATAAACAATGTGTTATTTTGGTGAGAAAATATAGTATTTTCTGAAAAATAGTTGGACGTTAATATACACCTTGCTACCACTTAATCTGTTTTTTTAGACACAAACTACTAGAAGGAATTTCGCCACGCCCTGGCGCGGGATCGGCATCGAAAGTGTTAATTATAAAACGGTAAAGCTACAAACTAAAATTTGCAAATAATTGATATAACTTTGCTTATTTTTAAGACGGTATAGTGCGGCTGAAGTAACATAAAGTGACGTATTATATAAGCTTTCGAATTATTAAGAAATAGTGGTGGATAAAAACCTAATATATTGAACATTTTAAACCAAGAATCATACATTAATAAACTACCACTCGAAAATATTTATTTGCTGTCCGGAGCAAGTTGGCATCTCTGCTTCCGGTTTCTGCACTTCCGGCTTCTGTTTGCGCTCCCTCTAAGCGGCCAACAACTCTCCAAACTTCTGATTCGATTCTCATAGAAAAACCGCGCTTACATGTCGATCATTCTTTTCCGCTTTGAATTACATCCCTTCCATTATCATTTTTCCCAGTGGTATTAAAATGGAATTAAAACTTCAATTTTAAGCAAACAAATGCGTTGTATTTGAAAAAAATTGAATTGACAACCAGTAACGCATATTAATATATAAGCTTAATTTTTGTAAGAATAGTGGTGTTCAAAATCATTTAAAAATTAAATTTATAAATGAAAAAATAGTATATATTTACTACCACTTTAAATATGAAAATAAAATCTCCCGCAAAATGCGGGAGAGTTGGCAGGTATGCATTACAAGCCAATATCATTACAATCACAAGCCAAATCAAATTCACTACCGCTAAAGCTTTGACTTCGACGTCAAACTCACTATTTTATTTGCATACTGCGAAGTTTAAAAATGAGAAAAAAGGTATTTGTGACTCTCCTCTTCCATTTTATGCAACAAAAAAATTTGCTTGTACCGTTATTTTATTCAGGACTTACAATATCCTTTAATTTTTTTGAGCAGTGTATATATTTAATTAATATATATAAATATATGCTAACAATATATATTATTAAATAATATATTAATCTAGTTTATTATAAGTCAACCTTCGTATTTCAAGCCCATTTTAAAGTAGATTTAGAGCGGAGAATGTTCATAAAACAAACTCATTAACCTAACAAATAACAATTTCATTAACTACTCATTGACTTAGCGAACTCATTAACTCTTAATCATAGCTTTTCAAAAATAACATGCTGTTAATAAATATTACGATGTTAACAGGAAAGAATTACTGAACAGTAAGTGTCTACAAACTTGAACTGAAAACTAAAAACTTAAAAAGCAAGAAAATACTTTGTAAGCATTTGAATTTTTATGAAATCTAGGAAATTTTTAAAAATATACTTATTTTCGGCAACAAAAGAGGATAAATGAATGTGAGTAACGCTTTTGTAAGATACTAAACTACTTTTATCTGGAAAAAAAACTCTTAAAAACTCAAATATATTTAAATTTTCGGTTAAAAAAACATTTACGTAAGCATAAGTTTAGAATTATCATTTCGCTTTACATTTGCGACCAAGAAGAGCGAGAGGGAAGATCCAATTTTACAAAATATACTTAGGTAATGTTTAAATGACGCCAAAACCATTATCGAAAAGTTAAAAATGGAATAGTTACGTTACAATGCCATTTTACTTTACAGAATAAATTTATAAGAAACTCGCAGCACCGTTTTATCTTCTTTATTTCAATTTTATTAAATTTCCTCGATTATATATATATGCTTACTACATATTCCTTCATANTGGTGCGACGATTTTTTTGTTATAGAGTGTATTTATTAATCTAAACTTTTAAAAGAATTCATCAATCATGTCTTAAGTTAGAAAAATGACAAGTGTTAATATGAGAAATATCAAAGTTTAATTTTTACACAATACCAATTTATTAACTAAAATTTATTTTATTAGTAATTCAAATTTTTTTGAATGAAATAATTATCAAGAACAATTAGTCGATATTTTTCTAAGTGTTCGCTAGCTGAAAATAGTGCTGGTGAATGTGATTAATGAAAAGAAGAATTATCCTACTAATTAATAGTTGGCTGTCGGGCTAACTTTTTTTATCATTAAAATAAATATGGAAACTCCTGATGTTTTGTTAAAAACTTTTTATCTTGAGTAAGCTAATCAGCAGTCTTATAACTGAAGCAAAGTATCTGAAAGAGCTTTCTAAAACCCACCTCTTTACTTTCCAATTATTTTTAAAAAAATATTTCTGTTTTCAGAAGTATAAATTGAAAATGAACATTTGAATAAGAACAATGAATTTTTGAATGAAACAATATTAGGTAAAAATTGCAAAAAATAATATTCAATGTCGAAAACCATTTTTTACGCACAAACTAGAAAAGAAGTACGAAAAGTACAAATTTTATCCACTATGTTTTAAACACATGCATTATATGAAAGCTGACATTTCTTACAGATTTTGAGAAGTAATAAGTTTCGTTTTGATGAATGAAAGTGAAATAAATTGTTAAGAAGCTCTTTTGAAAATATCCGACACTTAAAAATGCTATTTAATAAGAATATCTCAGTTAGTTATCAGTTTTAAATTAGTTATGCGTAAACGGTTGTCAAAATCACTTTAATTCAAGAATTAGTTCTAAATCATGAATCACTTAATTCAAGAATTAGTTCTAAATCATGAATCACTTAATTCAAGAATCTTTAACTCTGCTATCACATTTTAAATTTTTCTCTTTAACATTCCACATTTTTAAAGAGGTTATAAAACTCAATTTGATCCTTTAAAATAAATCTTCAAAAATAATCTATCAGTGTTTGCATCTTTATTGCTCTTTTCAGTATGCTGCTGTTAATGCTGCTTTTTGGACCATCATGACCTATGAGGTAAGCATAGATGTCAATTTTTTTTAATTTCTTAGAAATTTTCTATCTATTTTATGTCTTGGAGTTACAATTTTGCTTCGAATAATAAATAAAATAGCACTACATGTAAATAAATTAAAAATATGTTAATATGCATGTAATTGAAATAACCGACCGGCTTGTATGGGGGTTAGGGAACTGGCTTTGCATCAGAAAGATTCAGGGTTCGAATCCCGGACAAGGCATGTATGTTCTTTCCTTGTCCGTCCTTAATGTGGGATCAACATTGACCCACCTAATATGGTGCCCCTGAAAGAGTGACCAGCGAATCTGCCCTTCAGATGCCTGTATGACGAAAGGTCACTCTCCAGGTGGGCATTGGAAGAAAAGAAATTGATATTTGCTTGATAATGTACAATGTGTGCTGTTTTAGATCCCACAATATATGAAAATATATCCAGACTGCAACTGCTTAGGGTATTAATCGGCAAAATTTGGCATAAAAATTTATAATTAAATTTTTTTTTAAATATATATATATTAATTATGTGAAGCAAACACATTCATCAAAATATGGTAATAAAATATGCGATTGGAATATTTTAAAAACTAAAACTGTAGTTACATTAGATACTATACGTGTGGTGTGATCATGGGATCACCACAATGTTTACTTTTCCTACTGGGCTGTCTCCGACAGGAGCGCCCTCTTCATTGCCTTTGCAGGATCTCTAGGGCTCGACTCCTAGCTCGTCTTTAGAGATTTTCGCAACCTCTAAGAAGGGGACGCTATCTTTTGGATCTCAGGTGAGCTGTTGCATTTTTAGAGCAGCGTTTTTTTTATGTTATCATGTTTTGATGTTTAATGTGTGCTCTATAGTTACATTTTTGAATTTTACCTTTATAAGTTTCTGCAACCTTATCTTCGAATTATTTGATGCATCATAAAATTCTACAAAAAAACAACTATTTTAATATGTTAAATTAAATTTCTATCTACTCCCTGGAGCACACAGGGAGGACCCAGCATTGGATTTTCACTTTTTGTAAATCGGTGAGTCATGTACCAGAAATGCATATGATCTAAGAACTAAAATAAACAAAAGATGGATGAACTTTTTCTACGAAATCCGTTGGTTTTTTCTTGTTCACAAAGATTTACCAGTCCCCGGCGTAATTTAGAAAGATGATTTGTCAAATATACCATATGCAGCTCAGCGGATGATAATCTCCAAGAATCCAGTTAAATTCATCTCCTGCCCGGATGATTCCCACATTATGTCTCTTCCTTCAACCAACCCCGTGGCAATACACTTTGCTTAAGTTCTAATTTTGTGGTACTTCTTTCAAAAAGTTACTTTTAATATCACTACAAAGTGAGAAATATTAAACATTTATGGAGATATTAATTAAAACACTTTAATTGTATGGAATTAAAACTACACTTTATGCCGCAATTTTTCAAAAAATAGTATCAATTTTTCTTAATAAATTTAAAAACACAAATGTGATTTAGAACAAACATACACGAGTTGTTTTTAAAAATATATATCGGTTACAAATTCTTGACAGGATAAATACAACTGCAAGTTTAGCTAAAGTTTAAAATTGATTTTCTTCATTTACATGTCAAAAATTTACAATATATTACATTAGATTACATGCCAAAAATTACAATAATTTACAAGATATAATTTCTTACACTGTATCAATTCACAACGGACTCTGCCAGTTTCATCGAAAATAATGCCATAAAAAGTAACTGATATAATGACGTAACTAATAGCACGTGATTTAAATGGGTTATAATTAACAAAACAAAGTAACACAAGTATGGACTGAAATTTCTTTATTAGTTTGAACTGTATCTTAAACCCATTTCATGCAAAGAATGCAGGTTTAGTTCGATCCCCGCAGGCCGAAGACTCCCCGTGTAATGAATGGTGACTGGTGCACGTTAAATCTGTCTGGTCACAAAGTTCTCCATGTTCCCATAACAAATTATGCCTCTGGGGGCGCTGCATTGGAGATTGATAGTTCTCTGGTTCAGGTGAAAATTACAATCTGTGGATGAATGAATGAATGGATGTATAAAGGGGTCGCTCTATAAACGGGCTGTGATGTATGTGTGTGGCAGAAGTCGAATTCTTGGCCATAGATGGCGCTACTAGAAAGCAGGAAGAAACGCACCCTTTTTGTCTTATTGGCATACGACGACAACAGCAATGCTAGTTTTCTGTGCCGAGAATACGGCCTTCTTATTAATGCCTTGATCAGAAATTAAAGCCTTTTTTGAGTTAACGTGGTAGGTAACACAAGGAAATATCCACTTTGTAACACTATGTACTATCAGCAACTCTTAAAATGATTTTTTAACATCTTTACAGTGTACGTCATCAAGCATATTTTTTTTTACTAAAGATTCATATTTACCCTTTGCACTCAAGTTTTTTTTAAACAGTTGGAAAAAAAGACTGGTGTAACCATTAAGAGTTTACAAGACAAAACCTACCTTTTGCCCCATTACTGTATAATACCTGGTGGCCATTAAATAAAGTGGCTACAAAACAATACAGTAAACGGCGGTAGCGAATAGAGCTTTCGCCTCCCACTGAGGTGTCCCAGGATCTGCTCAAGCTTGTCACCAGCAAAAGTGCTGATGTAAAATATTGTCAGTGGTATCATAATTTAGAATCCCCTCTCTATTGAGCTTACCGTGAGAGGCTTTCGTGGTTTTCCTCTCCATGTAGCGCAAATACGGGTTAGTTTCTTCAAAAAATCTTCCACGATGGGTAGTTTGCTTCAAAGCTTGATCCAGGAGTTCCCTTGTATTCTGGTTTTTTTTCTTCAAACTTACAAAACTATCAAGTTGAATATTGATAGTTGTTAACTCAGAATTGGATTAGCTGTTCACTGGTTATTAAATAAAATTAAATAAACATTGAAATGTAACATTTTATCATTCAGAGTGGTAAATATTTTACGGTGCCAACTAGGAGCATTCGATTGCAAAGGGTTAGGCTTGATGATTATCTAGCTTAATCCTTCGAAATAATGGTATAAGTAAATATCAGTAGATATTTATGGCTCACCATAGTATTGCTTGTTTTCCAGAAATCATTGAGCAAGTTTGATGTGAGGAAGGTTTTCAAAGTTCAGGAAGCCAAGGTAATAAACAAAAATATTCTATTTACTGCTGTCTTGCTACTTGCTGTTGTATTCCCTTATTTCACGAAAAGTGCTCACTACTTTATATTTTACAGCGTGTCCAAAAAGTATGAAAGTATCTCGAGATATATTTCTTTAATGAAAAATCTAAAGAAACACAAAATAAATCTTGAGTGACACCAACCTCGATCTCTCTCATTCTTGAGGTTGACTCCCAGGGGGTAGTGCTGAGTTTAGCATTAACCCCTTGTAGACGTGTGATTCAGGAAAGCATTCGTACAAAATCAGAATCAGGATGTAATTAAATAAAAAAGGGTAACATAAATGTTGTGGTTTCTTATTTGACAGACTTACTTTGCTTTTACTTTAATTATTGTCAGATTAATCATATATATAATCAATGTTAATTCAAAGTATAACTAAATAGTTTTATTTTGAAATAAGTAATGGTGAATTAAATAAATCGAACCGCCCACAAATAAACTGCTAAAGAATTACTTTGATTATCAGTTTTATTTTTTTACCCTGATTGATACGATTTTATGCTGGCACGTATTTGTGACAGTCGGCCCGAAAGGGTTAATAATTAGCTTTCTTTTTTCTTTCACAACATCAAACACGTCCGATTCATGAATGAAAACGAGACGGAAAAGAAGAAAAGCTGGTAGTAAAACATACCTGCCAACTTTTAATCCCTTCCATTATGATTTTTCCCAGTGGTATCAAAATAGAATTAAAATTTCAATTGTAAGCAAAAAAATACGCAGTAATTGAGAAAAACATAAGCTGACAACCACATACCCTCCAACTTATGAGGATTTTGAAAATAATTCTTTCTAGTGGTAGCGAACCAAAGTAGAAATTTTTAAAGCAAATGCATCTCTCATAAAACTTTTATCAGAACATAGCCATATGGCCTGCACTTTTATAAGTAATAGTGGACAAGTTACGCTAAAATGAATTTTTTTTTAAATATTAAGACATTAATTTTGCTACCGTCTGAAAAGAAGATTTCTGAAACTACGGAAATTCCGTAGCAGTTGGAAGTTATGCAACCATGATAGTAGCGCATATTAATATATACACTTAATTTTTTTAAGAATAGTGGTGATCAAAATTATTTAAAAAATTAAGTTTATAAAAGAAAATATAGTACATATTTACTACCACTTTAAATATAAAAATAAAATTTTACGCCAAATGAGTAAAAGTTGGCAGGTATGTCATACCTGCCAACTTTCACTCTCTCCGAGAATGGATTTTCAGAGTGGTTGTAAAACAATAACCGAAAAACAATCTGACTCAAAAATATATTTATATTTTGATTCCGTTGAAAATCGCGTGAGCAAGAATAATTATGCTTTCATATATTGATTATAATTATTTCTTTGTAGTGGTGGTCCAACTCATTTATAATTATCATTATAATTCAAAAAATTAATTGGAATAACCAGAGTATTACCACCATTTTAAATATGAAAATAAAATCTTCCGGAAAATCCGGAAGAGTTGGCAGGTATAACCATTTCAATCTTTAACTTGTTTTAGGAGGAGTTAACCTATTTTATTCATCAAACTATTATACATAATCTACTTTTTCTCAGGAAAGAAGCAGTTTGATATAGTACACATACCCTCTAACTGCTACGGAATTTCCGTAGTTTCAGAAATCTTCTTTTCAGACGGTAGCAAAATTAATGTCTTAATATTTAAAAAAAATTAATTTTAGCGTAACTTGTCCACTATTACTTATAAAAGTGCAGGCCATACGGCTAGATGCTTAAGTTCTGATAAAAGTTTTATGAGAGATCCATTTGCTTTAAAAATTTCTACTTTGGTTCGCTACCACTAGAAAGAATTATTTTCAAAATCTTCATAAGTTGGAGGGTATGTAGTACATACCCTCTAACTGCTACGGAATTTCCGTAGTTTCAGAAATCTTCTTTTCAGACGGTAGCAAAATTAATGTCTTAATATTTAAAAAAATTGAATTTTAGCGTAACTTGTCCACTATTACTTATAAAAGTGCAAGCCATACGACTAGATTCTTAAGTTCTCATAAAAGTTTTATGAGAGATCCATTTGCTTTAAAAATTTCTAATTTGGTTCGCTACCACTAGAAAGAATTATTTTCAAAATCTTCATAAGTTGGAGGGTATGATAGTATATACTCTAATTGTAAAAAAATCTCGGTGGTTACAGAAATCTAATGTTTTTCGAAAAAAATGGTAGAATGAAATGCCTTTCTTACCAGTTTTTGATCTTTTCCGTCTTGGTATATATAGGCTTTCAGTCCTGGTCTGATTTGACGAGCAATATTAAAATATCTCCATTTTAAACAGTTAGTATTTCTTTTTTCGATAACAGCGCTATCAGTGGCCCAAAACGTAAAAACTTGTAAATACGGATGCAAATCTTCAAAGGAAAGATGGGATTTCAATTTTAATAGTTCAATGGTGCTCTAATCTCTAATGAGATCATGTTGGAGATCAAGTTTGTTATCATTGCCTGTGATTTTCGAAATGTGTACTTTTAGATTTTTTAATCTAATGCTGCTGTATTTCGAGATATATAACTGTTTCAATATTTTTTTGGTCAGCAGTATATTAATGTCTAAAATATTGATTGTTAAGCAGTAGTGAAGCCAAGCGTGTTTTGAAGGAAATCCTCGTCAGACCAGGAGATGTATGACTGATCCAATATTTTTTTTTTGGAAAGCAGTATATTAATGTCTAAATTGTTGAGCAGTTGTGATACCAAGCGTATATTGAAGGAAATGCCAGGCCACGCGGTCTGCCGGAAACGCTGGTATGTGATGTATCAATGCAAAGCCCACTGCTTACAGATTGAAACAAATAAATATTTGATTCGTGATAAATAATTAAATTTTATGTAAATTTTGAATACATTTTCAGTAATTATATAAAACAATAAAAATATTTTAGTTTTATACCATATTTTACACTGACAGTCATAACTGACTGAAACTGCCTACTGCTCAATGGAGGCACTCAATGTGTTGATAACGTGCTAATTTTTGTTAATACAATAATTGTATTCCTTATATATCTATCATTGATTTTATTGGAAAACAAAAATTACATACACCAAAAAATGCATTTTATCATACAAGAATTAAGAAACTTTTGGCTCATCCTTTATTGTATATATAATAAAGGATATATATACTATATATACGAATTAATCTAAACTTTTAAAAGAATTCATGAAGTATATCTTAAGTTAAAAAAAGGTCAAGTATTAATTTAAGAAATATCAAAGTTTAATTTTTACATAGTACCAGTTTATTAACGAAAATACATTTTATAAATAATTCAAATTTTATGAAGAGCAATATGTGATATTAGTGCTATATTTCATTGTAAGTATTCACTAGCTGAAAATTATGCTGGTGAATGTCACGAAAGTAAAGAATTATTATCAAACTTAAAAGTTGTTGGTTTTCCGGCTATGCATATATATATCCTTTATTATATTTATATAAGGCAAATTCAGCTATTCATTTTAAATTTTGAGAGTTAAAAAGACTTAATTTATAGACATATCAAAGGCAACGTGTTTGTGCATGAAAGATATAGAAAACTTTTTTTTTTAAACCGTCGCATTGTGTGACGAAATGTTTTGCACTACGGAAATTGCGAAATGAAATGAACAAAAAATGATAAACAACGAAAGTCTTAAATACATTTTACAAAAATTTATTATCAAACAATCACTAGTTAAAGTTTTTCAAACCCAACAATATATTTTATGAAAAAATAGCGTTTTGATATTCTAACGATTCTAAATATCGACGCAACAAGATTTACAACACTTTCGCGATTTTACTTCTATACTTGCGCATTATTTTCGTATTTCTCAAGAAAATTTCAGAGAATTATTTTATTATTAAAAAGCTTTGAATGGTAAGGGGTTGCCCACAAATATTATTTTGTACTATTAAACAAGATTTATTAAAAATGAAATCAACTTTACAAACGACCACCCCCTTTTAAATTTTGTTTTATTTCACATGTTTTCTTTATTAATACCATCACATTTTATTTTCCGGTTCATCAGCTGAGGGTACTATCATTTGTTATTAAATTTTAATCCGTGATACAAAATGAAATTTGTGGAAAACCCCTTATCCTTTAGAGCTTATTATTAAGAAGTACAAAAGCTACTTGGAAAGTTGTTAGAAACTTTTTACATTTTTAAGATATTCAAATCAGATTTTTTTTAATAAATTAGCATATACGATTCTTAACAAAATTATGAAAAAAAAATTCTTTTAATGTTTTTCGCGCATGGTCAGTATGAAAGGATTACTTTAAATGCTCATACCTTGAGCAATTTAAAAAAAAAATTCAAATTTTTAAAGAGTGATATTTTCATTATTAGTTAAAAATTACTCCAAAAAGTCTGTTTAATTTTATAGAATATTTCTGTAATTATAGTAAGAAAGTCCAAAAAACTAGTTTTTAAAAAAATAAAAATGTCCATATTTTCAAGGATATTTCAGCTAGGTTTAAATCACTTTTGTGGTCCCCTTTGAATCGTTAAGATATGATTCAGAGTAGAAAAACGAAGTCAAACATCACTACGGTCAGTCTGTGTGTGAATGACCACTTTGATCCACCGAACAAGGACCGAGGGTGGGCGGTATCGGTCCTCGTTAATTTGTTTTCTGTGAAGTGATTGACTGTGAATTGACTATCGAAGCAACGGGGCCATCCCCTCCGCAGAGGATCAAAATTGTGATGGCATGACTTCGGATCACCCTCGCGTATGTTTCCAGACCATCGCCAATTAGCCCGTTGTGTATTTTCGCCCGTTGTGTATGTGCGTTAATGTATTTTCTCAACATTATTTTGACAAAAACAATTAAAGTGTTCTTTGTTACATTTTATAAACCTTTCATGCTGTTACGAATGTATTAATATTTATGTAATTTTGTGAATATTCTTTTGTTATGAGGCTTAATATATCAGAGGTCCTAAATAAACAGAATTTGACGCGTAATTCTTACATAATTTAGAGAGAAAATTACGCCTAATGTATTTTCGGTTTGGCGACACTTTTGCCTACGTAAAGTCACCATTAACGACTTGGCGTTACTATTAACGACTTGGCAATCATTTTTGGAAACAAAATGGTTGATATGCTAGTCTCTCGTAAGTTCCTTGAACCACCTGATGTTCCAAAGTCTATGTTTTTTGTACTACATTAACGTGCATTAACAATTGTTACTTATGCTGTAATTGAGTGCTAGAATTAGCTGTATTTTTTCGAAGATTCTGATAAGAATTTTTTTTAAATCTTATGGACTGTTTTATTCATCTTCAATCGAAACAAAGCCATGTGCTCGGAAATATATTCAAGTAATAATAATAAAAAAAAATATTCTAATTTTTAATTCAATGTTTCTAGCTTTGTATAATGCCTCTGATGGTCAGATGTTCTACGGTGGATATAGGCTGCGAATAGGCAAGTAAACAACTTTTATTCTTGCGACTATAAATTTTCAAAATGCTTTCATTTTCAGCATTAAAAGTCAATGTAATGTTTATACTTTTACCATAAAATGTTTATTATAATTTGAAAAATTCCGCCAAAAGCATAATCTGACTTTTTGACAATATTGTTCAGATTGTCTAAAAAGCATGGAAGTGGTCAAATATTTCTATAAATACGAACCAGAGCAGTGATGGCTAAGGGAATACAGCTTTCACCTTCCAATGAGGGGAACCGGGTTCCAATCCCAGCGATGGCTGGTCGATAGCCATTCAAATTCCGCATTCGGCTCGCCCCGTAAATTATCCTGAGTGGTAGATTGATCATGGGTTAGAGTCTCCTTGCTGTCAGGCTTATCACTGGAGGTTTTTCTGGTCTACCTCTCCGTGTAACGCGAATGCGAGTTAGTTTTATCTAATGCAAAATTTTCGCAATATTCGATACAGGAGTTCCCTTGTCTTCCGGATTGGGTTTAAAATTACAAGCCTACGGATTTGAACATTAGTAGTCGTAAACCCAAAAAACTGGGTTGGCTGTTCAACGACGATTATAAAATATAAATACAAACCAAAATGAAAATATACAAATACTAGTGTCATATATATTTTCACAAGGTGCATTAAGTTACATTAAATTAACACCTAACCTTTCGCCTTAAAGGTAGGGGGGAGAGAGAGTGAATTTAAACTCTTAAATAGAAAAATCTTAAATCTACTGCTGATTTTTTTTTTTTTTTATAAAACGTACCACAGTTTACATACATATTTTTTCTTTTCCATTTTGGTTCACAGATGGCGTCATAGTTGCAAAATGACCATAGGGCACACACAATTATATAAAATATATATATTTCCAGAAAAAGTCTGATCGAAATAAATAAAGATAGACATGTCTTGGATAAGGGTTTGAACTTATTTAATAGCACTGCACCCCACACACGATCCCGAACCCTGGAAGGGGGAATAAAGTTTGGTGTATTTCTGCAGATATTTGACCGTTTTCATAGCTTCTATACAAATTATAAAACTTAATACTTATGAAGATAAATATTTATGCCAGCATTTTAGCCCAAGTCCATGCAATTTTAGCACATTAATTTAGAAAAAAAAATTTAATTGAGTATTTTTTATTCTTCCGTAAGGTTTACATTTTTTTTTAACTAATTTAATTTTTCGCACTATATTTTAAATGCTTCTTCACTTTCACCCGTTTTTTATATTAGTCTATTTATTTCCGCAGTTTTGCATGTTACAAAAAATGTGTTAGGAATCCTATTAATGAAAATTTATTTGGCTACATTTGATTGAAGTTCATAACATTCAATTTTGTAAATTTCATGCTAATTTTTTCAACTTTAAGGAGAATTACTATTATTTTTTTGTCTGAACTTTTGTTGTCAATCTTATAGATTCATTAAATACTTTTGAAAGTTCATGAATGAGGTAATTCCTCTCAAAAGTTCTGCAATTTTATGAAACAAAAACGTGTAAGAAACATTAGTAGCGTAAGCGTTATAACTTCTATTTAGGACATTTATTTCTGTATATTTGACAAGATTTCAGAAAATTTTATAAGTCTTATAAACTGTGTAAACGTCAATGTTCCATTTTTGTCGCTTTTTCAAAATGTTAAAGACTAGTAACTTATTTCTTCTTAACACTCACAATTGGAGAAGATCAGAATCAATCAGAATATATTAATAATAAAACTATATATCTATAACTATAAATCTATATAACTAAATAAAACTATATATCTTGTGATACATACGTTGTTCTAAAAATCAAGTAATTGCTATAGTTTTTTTTGTCCAAATTGTGGGTTAAATGAATAAAATATCCATTTTTCGTATTTAAACCTGATATCACATTTTTCGTGAAAGTATTTTTCCCATAACTGAAAAATAAGTATTTGGGAGGTAAACGGTTACGCAAACTACCCTATTTTCAGGATAAAAATAAATCCACCGAAGTTGGCTCTAAGTTTACTTTTTATAACCTCTCTTCAGTTTTGGTTTAATTTTTGTATCGGGTTATCAACTTTGTCAGCAAAAAGAAAGAAAGAAAAAAAAAGTGAATTTTATATTTAAATTAAACGACACTGAAGCAACTCAAATACATATTTTGAACATACAGTGAAAAACAAGATTGACAAACTGTAAAAAAAAATAAATAAAACTTTCATTTGAAAGTTTATGAGTATAAATTTTTAATTTTTTCCCATAACAACAGCAAATAATAGTTTATACAATTTCATTAATATTCATATTTTTACTATGTTTAAGATAGAGTTTTCGTAAAGATGCCTTTAAAATGTTAATAAATCATCTCAGTTTTTTGATGGAGTTCAGATGCCGTAATATTTTTTCATAAATGGAAGCTTTATTAATTATAGTACGTGTACTTTGGTAAAATAAAAATAAAAAAACAAATTCCACTGTATAACTAAATACACGAATTTTTTTTTTCTTTCTGTAAACAGGTCTTCTTTACGTTGAAGATGTGCTGAAGAACACGATCTGGAAAAGTGATTAGGAACAACAACAAAATTCGTTGACTACAAAAATTATGATAAACTTGATTAAAAAATTTAGCATTCTATTTTTTCTATTGTAATCTAATTTTATTTTCATGCTCTATATCTAAAAGAGGATGCACAACTAGGAAAATTTTAGGAAGCTGCGAGAAATATTTTCTGAGGTTGTTGGAAATTATTCATATATATATATATATATATATATTCAGTTATATACTTTGCAAACATTTTCTCCCTTTCTCTGGCGTGTCTTCACTTTCTTGAAAGTGTCTTTTGGGCACAGTGGCTCAAGGCTGTAATCCTAGCACTTTGGGAGGCTGAGGCAGGTGGATCCCTTGAGGCCAGGCATTAGGGACCAGCCTGGCCAACATGGCGAAACCCCGTCTTTACTAAAAATA